AAAATCAGCAAACAGTTCCTCTGTTCTTAGGAAGCATTTTAATAACCTCCCAGAATAGGAAGCCAGAACACCGTGGGCAGAACACAGGCAGCATCTCTCTCACTCCAGGAATTCAGTGCATGTTTTCAATTAGAAAATTCTGTATATGAAATGCATTCATATGCTTTTAAGCTTTTGTTGACTTGCATCACTTCATTTTTTTTATGTGCTGAATTGTTCACAAAACCTTTACAAATTTCCTATTTATGTCAAGCGAATGTGCTCCTGGTCCAATCTAACTCAGACATAACATGCTAATACAAGCTGGGATCCTTTTTGTGTAATACTTTCTTCCACTCTAAAGGCATTTAGTTTAGTAGACTGCAGGCTGTGACTAGAAAGCAGAAACATTTGACATCTCATTCCATCCTTGTTCTGAATGCAGTGGGACATTGCCTAAATTCCTTTGGCATACTGTTCCTCAGCTAGCATCCCCCGTGGGATGGGCATAATAGCAATATCACAGTGGCATTTTGAGACTGGGTTCTCTCTAGCTGGGGAGGTTTATTGGACTATAAATTGTAGTAACTGCAGCCATTACTGTGCAAAAGCTCCTAGTGGTCTTTGCTGAAAACCTTTTTATTTTCTTCATTTTGACATTCCCATACAAAACTGCCAAGCAAACTCTGAAGTTTACATTTATGAAGGCTGTAATCATTCCATGAAGTTCAAGAAATCTGGCAGTGATCTGGAAAACTGAGGAGGTAATAAAAGGTTACCAGCAGGAATGCAGAGCTGCCTTGTATGGTAGTGGAGAGAAGAACCAGCGCATATTTTGATCTTATAGTGCAGCTCTTGTCTTTGGGGTGGGCCTTGATTGTGTAGCTCTGCCTGCATTGGGAACGCGTGGCAGTGTAAACATTCCTCTAATAACACAGAGGTTCTCTTAAACATTTGTAAATAGTTCAGCAATTTTGAGAAACGGGGTGGAGCCTGGAGATGGCTAAAGAAAGAAGCATTATTCTCATACTTGATGCACTCGCTGCCTCAGACTCAGTCCTGCTCTTAATGTAAACCTTTGCGACTTTGCCTCCAGCGCAATGGCACGATGTGCGTCTGACCTGACGTGGATGGCACACGCTGTTCCACAGCTGCGCCGCATGCAAGCCTGCCCCAACCCTGACACCCTGCCCTGTGGGTTTGTTTCCACTGAGAAAGGAAAGGTGCAGTATACTGGCAGTGTTGTGTTTTGGAGGAGATGCTCTTTTGTTAATGACGTTACTTATGGCAGAAGAAACGGAGGGGAAAAAGAACAAAATTGTAAAATCAAACTCTGTGAATTTTTGCTGGCTTCACTTAAGTCAGAAAAGTAATTTTGCAGTATTAAATGTGAAGCCCACAGAAGGTGGGAAATTCTGAACATCAGGCATTTTGCATTTTTTGGCTCATTAGTTAATTAGCTTCATAAGAATAAGGAACTTTTGAGGAAGGATAGTAATACCATGCTGACTTCCACTGCTAGTTACGAAACTTTCCAGGGATGGGGCATCCACCACATCTCTGGGCAATCCGTTCCAGTGCCTCACCACTCCTACTGCATAAGACTTTTTCCTTACATCTAACCAAAATCTCCCCTCTTCAAATTTGAAGCCAATTCCCCTTGCTCTATCACCACAGACCCTGCTAAAAAGTTTGTACCCTTTTCTGTAGCTCCCTTTTAATACTGAAAGGCTGTTCTCAGGTGTCCCCATAGCCTTCTCTTCTCCAGGCTGAACAGCCCCAGCTCTCTCAGCCTGTTTTTGCAGGAGAAATGTTCCATCACTTGTATTATTTCTGTGGCCCTTCTCTGGACATGCTCCAACAGGTCCTTGTCTTACTTGTACTGATGACTCTACATCTGAATGGGGGTATTCCAGATGGGGCCTCACTAACACAGACTAAAGGGGCAAGAATACCTCCCTTGCCCTGCTGGGAGCCTAGGATATGGTTGGCTTACTGGGCTGCAAGGGCACGTTGCTGGCTCATATCCAGCTTCCCATCCACTATTACCCCAGTTCTTTTTCACCAAAGCTGCACTCAATTTCATCCCCCAGCTTGTATTGATAGTGGATGTTGCCTTGATCCAGTTGCAAGACCTTGCACATGGATTTGTTGAACCTTGTGAGGCTCACCTGGGCCCACTGCTCAAGCCTATCTAGGTCTCTCTGGATGGCATCCCGTCCCTCTGGTATATCAACCACATCCCACAGCTTGATGTCACCAGCAAACTTGCTGAGAGTGCTCTCAACCCTACTGTTGATGTCACTGATGAAGACATTAAAGAGTGTTGGTCCCAGCACTGACCCCTGTGGGACACCACTCATCACAGATCTGGACATGGAGCCATTGAGCACTGCTCTCTGGATTCTATCTTCCATCCGGTCCTTCATCCATTGAACAACGCACCCATCAAATCCATATCTTTCCAATTTGCAGAGAAGGATGTTGTGAGGTTTTGTGTCAAAGGTCTTACTGAAGTCCAGATAAGATTACATCGGTGGCTCTTCCCTTGCCCATTGGCCATTCGTACAGGACCAGAAGTCTCAAGGTGTCATTCTGGAGATGAGTTTTCTTCTTTGCACTGCTAACCACTTGTAGAACACCACTAGCTTCTCTAACTCTGCACTTTCCTTTTTTCAAATCAGAATGGAATCTTCCAGAGTCAACTAAAAAACTTCAAGTTTGTGGGTGGAAGTTCTGCTCCAGGTGTCTGTCTGCATTGACATTCCAGTTTCATCCAGTTGTGCAGGTTTTCATGACTAACATCATCTGCCCATTGCACATGGGCCTCTCATCATCCCCAGCCTCACAGTTTCTGAGCTATGGCTCTTGGCTCAAGGTACAGCTTCTTACATTTCAGAAATACTCCAGTGACAACACTGCAAGTAACTTTCACTGCTTAGTTCAGCCAACTGAGCCAGAACTTCATTTTAACTACAACTATTTATTCACTTACTAGGTGACAATATTTTAAATTAAAATAAAAACCGCAAAATCCATTGATCTAAAACTATCCAAAATGGTCTTCTTAAGATTGCTTGCTTCTAAATGTTTTTTTGCTATGGCAACACCATTGCTACTAATAATTCAGAGGCTATTTAGCAGGTGGGAGACCTCAATGGCACAGGAAAAGGTTTAACTCACAAGTTCTTCAACTTTCAGATCAGTAAGAACATGTTCCCACTGACACAACTCTGTGGGAATGAAATAGGATGTGTAATTTAAGCCTCCCATCTGAAAGGAGCCTGTAATACGTGGTGTTACACAGGCCTTGGTCCCATCAGCTGAGGTAACAGGAAGAGGGAGCTCTGAGGGAAGGGTCCCCTAGAGAGTTCTGTAACAGAACAGGAATTAGAAGCCTTTGAGGAATGTCACAGCCCTACCCCATTATCTACCACACATCCTTCACCTCACATCAGTAGGGACAGGGCTGTCAGACATAAAAGAAGCTACAGCCAATCTGAGTAAACCCATCCAGAAATTGCTGTCACGGGAATGAAGTGCACAAGAGAGATGGAGGCATACTTTTTGTTGAAATGTCATTCTTTTACACCAAACCAATGCCATAATCTCTGCTACTGTTAATACTGATCCTTAAAAAAACAACATTCAAAAGGGGCAGCACAGAAATCAGACCTGGCCATCTGCAAACATGTATTGATGCAAATTATTCATTTCAGAGCTGAGAGTGGACTAAAACCCTCATGCTGCTGCAAGGGGCCACATGGGCTTGTGTACCTCCACAGGACCAGAGCTGTTTACAGGGCTCACTAAGGAAAGTGTACCACAAACAGGTAGGTCTTCGTTGACATGTCCTTTATGATATGTTTGCTAGTAGTACCAGAACTGAAGTGGTGGAAGGATTCTGCAGATAACTGCAGTGCCTCTCCTTTGCTGTTTCAATCAGAGTGTCCGTGCAGGTCTGAGCTCAGCCCTCTGCATACTGGAGCAGGCTATAAAACTGATGGATCTGCAAAACAGCCAGGGGTTTACAGAAATACCAACATCCACATTTCATGTATCAGTAAAAGCTCTCCTAAACAAACTAATAAAGAGTGCTTCACACCAGTGAATAGATCAAGGTGCTAATTTCCCTTTCCCTTTTGGCAAGAAAGTGGTAGAAGGGTAGGAATTGATCCATCCCACAACAGATTTCTCTTTTGCTGGTGCTACTTGTCAGCTACTTGTCAGCCACCATAAGCAGATTTCACTTCCCACAATAGATAGGAGAGTAAAGTGGTAGGCCTCTGCCTTAGGTGAGATTGTTCTCAGAGTGGAGCTGTTTGCAGTGGAGCTTGTCAAACTGTGAGTCTTCCTGGACAAGCAGAATTGCCAAACGCTGTGGCAACTGCAGTCAGCAATGCAAACGTAAAGTTCTGTTCTATAAAAGCTGCATATAAGTCAGTTTGTAATGCTGGCTGAAATGTTTTCTTTCCTTTGTTTGGATTAGATTCATAATAAGTCAAATAGTTTAATGAAAGTCAGAACAGAGCTACTTAAGCCAATCTCTGCTTGGCCTAAAACAACAGTAATGTAGATGAGAAAAGTATTCTACTCTTTCAGGTCATTTTGGAAACAAAGCTGGGTGGCTAATGAGTCTAAATTTATTTTTCTGGAAATTTGTCACAAATGCAACATGTTTGTTTTGGCAGAATGATAACATGCTATGTTCCCCATGTTCAAAGCCAAGGCGTAACATTGTTAAGTTGCTTCTATTTTATCTTTCTGATGTGTGCCCAAATAAAGCTTAGCATCTCAGATGCAAAATGCAACATCATTTTTATAGGCCATTTATCTAGATTGCTGTGAAAAAGCATGTTTAGGACAGCATTAAAAAAAAAAAACACATTTTGTGCTGCTTAAATAGAAAACTTCAGTGAAAGCAGTTTTTACCGGTTTACAGGGAGAATTTAATGGACTCAAAAAGGTGCTCTGTGTTCTTGCAATATCATGTTTTTTCCATGTGTACTTTATAACTTGCCAGGAAACAACCACGCATTAATACTGCAATTAAATAGCAAAATGGGTAAAGCAGGAGATTATGGGCAGCTAGCTTGGATGTTCCCACTGGCCTTTTGAGTGTCTCTTCCCATGGACTGCAGAGGAAATTTGGACTTCTAAACTCATATGTCCTGAATTGCACCGAAGGTAAATGCCTGGCAGGGGCTTGGTAGACCATTAAGAAAATGTAATAGTTGTATACGAAATCTGTTTCCACTTCTGTGTCCGTGCTCTTAACGTTCCTGTCTTTGTGAGAAGGACCCTATTGAAAATCACTTTCAGGTGCTCAGCGTTCAGCCAAATGTGAGCTCTTCTTCTACACCTTCACTTCCTTATGCTAAGGAGAGCAGCACGGATGGGTGACAAAGAAATCTGTTCAGGTCTGGCCTTCACATTTCAGAGCTGCAACAGCACATCAGAGCAATGATATCAATAGTGATTTCAAGTGCTAAGTGCCATTAAAGATTCAGTGCTTGATCCTGCAAACAGATGAGCACTCTGGCCCTGCTCCAGCAAAACACTTAGAAATATTTATGGCACTTTTCTTCCATTTATGCTTGCTATCAGAAGCTTTGCTGTATTGGGTGAAAATAGACACTTGCAGGTTCATGTTACGTATTCTAAGCCATCTGAAAGGAAGCTGTCGGGCTGAAGCTGGTCATCGAAGCTCCACCTGGTGCTAATGAGGGGAGGTCAGCATCTATAAGGCTGATTCCATGACGCTATTTTAGCCCTTATTTCTGAATGAATGGAGCGTGTTCCTCTCCTCACCCTCTCCTGATGGCAGACCTGTACCTTAGAGTGGACACCAGATTTGCAGAGAGTCAAAGTAGTTCAGGTTAGCAGTCTGTTCATTTCTGCAGAATTTATACCGATTTCACATTTACTGTACATCCTTTGAGAATTACCTTTAAAACATTAAATCTTACAAGCTCAAAACACTGATATGATTTTAATACAAAGCTGAAACCTGCATATCTCTGTTATCACATGTAAATAGAATGACAAAATAAAAACTATCTGTCTCCTAATTTATTTATTACACAAACACAACGTACAAATGCAAGGGATCAAATCACTTGCCTACCAAAATTCAACAAAGAAGTTAATTCTTTTCTTGCTATCTATTACTGTATTTGTGGAGTTTTATCACACCCATAGTGATAAAAAAAAAAAGAAAGTAAATTTGTATCTCGTTGTCTGATGGAAAGAATTCTGTCAGGGAGAGGTGATTGCATGCTGGGAGTGGAACTCTTATCTAGATGTGGAATCTCCATCTAAAATGGATAATTTGCTCAGCACTTCACTTCTCATGTCTGAAAGTGTTTCCACAAGCTGTTGGTCATAACTGAAGCTCGAGATTCTCAGAAAAGCAACCACCCACTATTGTGGAAAACTCCATATTTCACACTTGCCAAAAGCCTCCTTGTGTGGTCTTTAGAACTTCCGAGTGGTAAAAATCAGAAAAAAAGCTGATATATCTAATTTATTTTTTCTCTGGAAGAACACTCAGTACTGAAAGGAAGATGCAGAAAGCTGTTTGCATATTAATCATAAGAAACTGATATGAGTGGATAGAATGTGGATTGAAGATGTAAAATGTCACTTGATTCATGGCTATATTTTAATTCCATGTAGTATTAATAAATTAAAGCTTTTATCACAACCTTGAAACAACACCTTTTTTAATGTGGTAAAATACCAGTTCAGACAGTTTAGCAGTAGGTGCTTTCCTGAGCAAGTGAGTACTTCTTAACTGCCCATCAGCTGAACTGCAGTGTGTAGCGACAGGACAAGGACTAATGGCCTAGAACTTAGAACACAGGAAGTTCTGTACAAACACGCAGAAGAACTTCTTTACAGTAAGGGTGATGGAGCCCTGGAACAGGTTGTCCAGAGAGTTTATGTAGTCTCCTATGGAGATATACCCATCTGGATGCCTACCTGTGCAACCTATTGAAGAGGTGTTGGACACGATTAAGCTCTTGGAATTCCATCCAGCCTCTTCAATTCTGTGATTCTGTGTCACTAAACATGCATCTCAGCCAGTCTCATGGAGGATTTTTTTTATAAACTCATTTTCCTTTGCATTTGCAACAGAATAGGAGAACACATGGAGCAGTCACTACCAATAGTGGATAGCTCATGACATCTTACCATCATGAAGGCAAAAGAAGTTGGAACTGGGAACCAGAAGAACTTCTGACTATTTCACCAATGAACTGGATTTGGAGTGGTGGAGAGAAGGTAAGACTTTCCTATTTACTACAGTTCTCTTTGTTTTTTGCTGTTTTTGTTTTCTGAAATATAATTATATTGCAGTAGTTTTATTAAATTATGTGAATCCACAAGTTCACCCGCTGAAGGAATAATTCACAGGGTATTAGTTACTTGTATAAGTAACACCTGCCTGACATTCCAGGAAAGCAACCGATTTGCATCCTCCAGCATTTTTAATCATAGATTTCTTTCTGCTGAATCAGGACTGAAAATTGAAATGCCATTCACCTTTTCTTTCTCATGTTTCCCCTAAACACAAATAAACTTTTAATCTGTGGTAAAAGTAAGACAATTTTCCTAATTTGGAATACTTTTTCACGAGTCATTGAAATGCACACATATTTCTTCTAAATACAGGATTATAATGTGTTTTGTTTTACTTCTCCATCAGCTTCAGGTCTTCCTTCAAATCACACGGCAATGTGCTTGTGACAAATCTACTGGTGCACATTTGTTTTCATGGGATCTCCTCTGATCATTTAGATATCTGACTTGAGTTTACATGGATACTTGGCATTTATGTATTTAAAACCTTCTGATCATTTTAATTCAATCTTTAAAATGCCAACCTAAACTGAAATTTCTCACTTAGAAGAAGTGATAAAATCAAAGTATATGCGTCAAAAAACCCCACAGTGTACTAATAATTAAAGGTGGCTAATTGCCCTGCACTATAGCTTGTCTGTAAGGAACCAGAGAGGTCAGTGGATCTCCTTGAGAATGTAGGAGTCTGAGCAGGATATAGGGCTGGGCATAAGTATCTGTTTGCTTTCCTAAGAAATGGATTTAAAATATTCCTGGGAGGGCTTTCAGGCTCTGCTCAGATGAATGTGTTCCATCTTGAAGATGGATAATACTGATAACACACAGATGTTGTTTATTTGTAGAAACCCATTTCTTAGATTGTAGAACTATCAAGGGCATACCGAGGAGAAAAGATTTTCCACTGTGGTGCAGCCCACCCTTGCTAAGGAGGCATTTGGCCCATTCCATAACCAGACAGACTCGTGGATCATCTCACAGATGTCTCGTGGGTAGAAATGTGCAGAACAGTATGTTTGTAGGGCCAATGGATTCATGGGTAGAAATGTGCAGAACAGTATGTTTGTAGGGCCAATGGATTCATGGGTAGAAATGTGCAGAACAGTATGTTTGCAGGGCCAATGGATTCAGGGAAGTTCTTTAGAAAGTTCTTGGTAGCCCCAAAAGCTGCATAACATCCAAGTGATCTTCCAACAGCTGATAGATTAGACCTTAACCCGCTACAAATAAGTCACTCACAACATTACAGCTTTGGCACAGCTGTTTTAGGTCACAAAAAAAAAAAAAAAAAAAAAAAAAAAACACCAGCAAAAAACATTGAATCCAACAGCTCCAAAGTCAGTCTAAGAAAGATGTGTGAACCAGGAATACAGAAGGTAGGTCACTGAAATGCATTGTCATCCTTGAATCGTTTAAAAAATCAACTTATTGACATTAGAAAAATGTAAGTGTGGCGTTGAACTAGAGCTTTGTTTTGCTTGTATTTGGTAACATTCACTGCCTTCTTACACACGGAGCCTTCCAGTTCCTCCATAATGTAGTGTAAACTTTTGCTTTTTGTGTTCTGTGTCAAGCAGTGATCAAGAGGAGATAATGTGCAAAGAATAAGAGTTGTTCCTTCTACCTCTCTACACCTAGAGGCAATAATATTGACAGCAGTGACAGCTCACTGCGATGTTTTCACAGTGACTTTTTTAAGTACTTTGCTTTGCTGCTGATTCAGCTTTTGTGGCCTCTGTGTCCGTTCCATGTGCAGCAGCGAGGGTCAGCTCCTGGATCTTCAGGATGCCTCTGTGCTGCCTTGGGCACTGCCCACACAGCCGTGTGTTGGAAGAAGGGGCAGTTTTATCACCCTGCACTTAATTTCATCTTCTTAACAGCAGCTTATTTCCCCTACTCTTTATCTTGTATATGTAGTCAGAACAGTTTCTCTCAGATAGGGTCTGTTTTTTTCTTAGTCCCACAAACCCAGAGCAAGCCCAAATGCACTTTGAGGTTGGCTTTAAAACTGTGACACCAAGAGATCAGGAAAAAAAAAAGCAACTCATGCCTTCTTTTTATCCTGTGTCTGGTTTTAAACTCTGATGGCTTTTCTGCACAGTTGAGCAAATTGGAATATTTTCTTATTAAGCAGTAATTGAGGCTCCTGACTGTCACAAGAAAACAGGAAAAAGTGCTATACAAAGAACAACAAACATCTTGAGAGTCATAATAAAATCAGGGTTCTATTAACTTCAGTTGCTATATCTGCACTGTGCTCATCACAACAGGCAACCAATACCAAGTACAATTGTATTGCATCATGTAGACAGCTGCTGGTCTCAGGGGCATTATGCTGCTGAGGAAAAGAAAGCAGAAGATCAAAGTACAGTTAAGTGTCTCTTAAGTAATTTTCTCCTTGACCTATTTATGTTCATGATCATTTTACTTGCAACAGGAAAGTCATAGAACACACTATGAAATTCAATAACATTTTCTTTGGGAGTATTTCAGCTGAAGCTACGCTAAAATATGATCTCAGTGGTGTGAAGTTTTATTATCAGACTCACAGTGAAGAGTTTGGGAACATGCTCTATGTACATTCTTGAGTGCATGAAAACCAACAAGAGCAACAAAAACCTATAGAGCTGAGTATGAATTGGGACCAATTCAGAGATCTCCCTTTGGCTTCAGCAGAAATAGAACTGAACTTCTCTTAAGTTTTATCTTAAGTCTAGATCCACAGTTACCGTTTTGTCATTTCATCTTTCCTGTATTATTAAAAATAGAGAGGTGAAATAGATCTTCGTAGATCACTACCTCATTGTCTGACAGACAATGGTCAGTGGTCCTTTAGCCTGTCCTAATTGTTCCTAGGGTAGAAGGAACTGCAGTATCCCTTGATCATTTCATGTAATTCATTGACAGGCATACTAAGCTAAGAACACTTTTTGCTGGAAAACACTCTGAAACTGTTAAGAGTATCAAAATCTTTGTAGAAAAGTGGGAACATGGAAACTTGTCTTGCTTGGATATCATCCACTCTAAACTGATTAAGCAGTCATACATTATTTACACCTGATGGAGATTTTTCCCTATCTCGAAGCTGAGGCCTTCTCCTATGCTAGAAAGTATTGATTTAAAAGAAGCATGGGATACTCTATAAAATAGCTTCTCATGTAAGTAACTGAACGTTCTAGAGTTTTTCCAATTTCTTCTTCTCAACTGACAACCTTGTTAAAAGAACACATTCATGATCTTTGCAATGTGGCCATACAGAAATGCAGTCAGGACAAGAAACCCTTCCCTCATGGGTGCAATGCTCTGAGCTCTGCCACCCAGTGATCACCTGGTGACTCACATGTAACTAGCCAGTCCCAGACCTGCTTTAAGTTTGTTCAATTTAGGGAACTTTAATGAAAATTTCTTAAAATAAGGATGAAAAAAGACCCCTTTTTGACTTTGCTGTTGTTTAGCTTAGGATCACTAAGCACTGAGGTTTCTCATCACATTTGAAAACATACTCTAGTTAAACACTGAAGGGAAAAAATATTTTGAAATAACTGTCTTTGAAAGCTATGCAGCAAATGCAGCTGTAGTGATGAATAATGCTTGTTGGCATTCCCTGAACATATTGCAGATCATTTACAGGTCTCAGTGAAATGCCTACGGAGTGCCAGGAGCAAGGAGTGAATTACTGCTCTTCACACCAATGAAGCCATTTTCTTTAAACAAAATGCAAAGTTAAGGTACAACATGAACTTTCCAAACAACGTTTTCTCCTTATCTGGATAAGTGATAACTTATTTCTGGATTGTTTCTGGATACTTATTATGTTTTTATAACTTGTTTCAGCTCTATCACTGGGCAATCTCTAGATGCGTTTTAGGCATTTTGTCCCAGTTGCTGTCCTTGAGCTGCTTTACCACAGTCCCTGCCTGCTGCCTGATTATTTTTCTCTGGGATTTGTATGAGACTCTGAAATCCAGCAGGATGAACTCCATCCAATAGCCAGGCATGTTGCAAAACTCTCTCATTAGTTTTTGTCCAGCAGGAGCTTAGCAGGATTAGTTGAGGAACTTTATGTATGTAATGCAGTTATCCAGGTATCTGCTAGTAGGGAGTACTTTGTCCTGATGAATTCTAAAGAATACAAAACCTACTTTTACTTTTATTTAAATAGTTATTTCTACTATAAAACAAAAGAGTTCTTCAGACTAACCGGGATAATGCAACGCACAGCTACAACCCAAGCAGGCAGCCAACCAGAGAATGACCCTTTATCATAGTTTTGCATTGTTCTCTTAACTGCGTGATGCCAAAAAATAATAATAATAAAGAGAAATCCTTTGTTCCCTTTCACTGGCGTAGAAGGTCACAAAACAGACAGTTCCTTCTTGATTACACTCTAAATAAATAAAAGCCTGATTCACAGAGGCGAAACAATCATCTGCCAACTGCCAAACCCTATAAAGGGTAAATCTGCTTTTACTTTGTGAGCCAGAGCGATGAGTCACAGAGGCTATGACTAATACCAGCAAGAATTGAATGTACCCACCAAAATACCGTCCCTTTGTAGTACAGTGGGGTTACCCAATAGCAGACCCTGATCCAACAGGTGCTGCTGGTCAAAGCCCTGGGACTGTTCTGGGGCAGTTGCTGGTGTGCATTTACTGTATTTGCAGGCATATATTCAGCATGGGGAGTTGAGTAATTTGGTTCTTCAACTGGGAAGCTAGCTACTGTTGAAATAAACACTCTCCTCTCCTCCCCATATCCATTAGCTGCTGCTTTCAGAACATGCCGGAAATGGGGGTTCCTCCCAGGGTCCTGGAGAAGCATGCTGGATGGTGACAGGAGGCTGTTGAAAAGGAAAACTTGCAGAGAAAGCTGCAGGGACCAAGAGAAACATTAATGTCGAAGCATAGGTCCTCTTTTTAGCTTTT